TTAAGTGATTCTCTTGCCTCAGCCTCCCAAGTAGCTGGGACTACAGGCGCCCGCCACAATGCCCAGCTATTTTTCTGTTGTAATTGTCATTGGTGTTTAGCAGGTCCGGGCCAAGTTTGAACCCACCAGCCCTGGGTGGGTGGCTGGTGCCCTAATCACTGGGCTATGGACGCCGAGCCTCCCAAATCCACTTCTAAAAAAATACCCTGATCACATCTGACAGGCTTTGACTGGATTGTTTTCTATTCCAGCATGAATCTCTGTGTCCATGGAAAAGAAATATGTTGATTGGCTAAGGCCTGAGTTACAGGCCAACTCATGGTCAGTGGGCTGAGCCAGCTCTGCATTAATTGACAGCGGGGCAGAGGGATTTCTGCAAGAGTATTCAGGGTTCCTTGACTGGAGTAAGGCAAAGGGATGTAGGGGAGGCAAAACAGAATTAGCAATGAGGAATCCATACACTGGTTTTGGCAGAAATATGATGGAATTATCTTCCCTGGCAAACAAATTCTCATTTCTTGCCAAAAGGCCAATAAAAGGTTTTCGTTTAAATATTTTTAAAAAGAACCACAGGACTCCTTTAAACTCCACTTATGAAAGAGATGATGATAGTGGTCAAAAAGGAGACAGAAGTAATCACTGTAGGAGCAGGGGTGCACTTCTTGTTGGAAGCTGTAAAAAACAAAACAAAAGTTAGAGATGTTTTAGCTAGCAGAGCATTTTTTTTGAAAACTACCTCATTTCTCCTTTGATTAACTTAGACAATTCCTAATAAAAACATCAGACGTTAGCTCTTTTAAAAAAATACTGTCTCAGATTTTTCTGACTAAAAGAGCTCATCGTGCTAGTTTTGCAGATGATGAAACAGGCTCCAAGAGGTTGAGAGATTCATCTCAGGTTACCCAGCCAGTTGGTGGTAGACATCTCTTGAGTTTCCATCTTAAGCATCACCATCACCCCATCTTAATTATCATCCTCTTCATCACCATTATGAAAGCTAACATGGTTACGTACTTATGTTTTGCTAGGACATGTATAAGTCCTTGTTATATATTAACTTATTTAATCCTCACAACAAATCTATCATTATACTTGTTTTTCATTTGATAAAACTGTGACCCAGAGATGTGAAGAAACTTGCCAAAGGTTGCATATCTAATAAGTAATGTAGGCCATTTTCAAACTCACATGGTTTGTGATAGAGTCGAATGTACTGACCCAGGTACAACTGACCCACCCAGGTAGACTGAGCCACCCAGGAAGAATCAAGCCTCACCCAGGGAATAATGAATGCCCCAATCCCTACCCCCTTGACCCTTTAAATCCCCATCCGCCATAGCCCACGTGTGGAATTCCTTTCTGATTTCACACCACCTGAACCCAGGTGGAATAAAGATAACATTGCCCAGAACCAGGACTTTGTTTTCCTTTCGTTTCGTGCCTTGGAATAATCTTTCATCTTTGGGTCCTTAACCCCGCAGTTTGACTCAACTCTTTGCTCTTAACCACTGTATTGTCTTTCCATATATTGCATGTCTGTTCATAGAATTTTTATTACAAGATATTTTAATACAAGAAGTATTCACATAATCCTGCCTGGTGTGTGTGTGTGTGTGGGGTGGGGGAGGCTGCCTTTACATAAAGATTTTTCACAGGAAGTTTAGAAAATGATAATGCCTGTAGCTCAAGCGACTAGGGTGC